GACACCCCTCCCGCCCGCCGGACACCCCTCCCGCCTTCACACTCACCGACCCGTAGAGGCGGCCCTGGCGGCTCATGGCCACGTAGAAGCCGCTGTGCGCAGCCTTGAGGGCTACGACGCCCACTCGGAGGGAGCGGATCTCCAGGACACCTGTGGGGAGGGGCTGTCGGCCTGGCCGCCACCGCGTGCCCTCTCATCCATCCATCCATCCAGAGAGCATTTCCCACGCACCGCCTTGTGTCCGGCCTGTGCTGAGCCTACACTTGCTGTCTGGCGAAGCAGAGCTGGGGGACGGGCCGCTGCCCACACTCTCGGCTCCACCCGTGCACTGGGGCTGCATCTGGAGCCCAGGCCTTGCCCTCTGGTCTTCAGGCGGGACTTGGATGCCAGAGGCAACGGGGAGCTCACCCCATGCCCCACGGGGCCTCTGCATTTCCTTGGCCAGGCACCCAGCTCCTCCTGTGCACGGCCAGCTCCTCTCCATATGAGGCTCAACCCAGGCCCACCTCCTTGGAGAGGGCCCCGGACCTCCTGAACGTCGTCCCGTAACATATGCCGCGTCTGTTAGCATCTTGCTCGTTCCCTCGGGTAACTGCCTTTCTCTCTGCTCTGGGAGCCCTGATATGGGCTGTCCCGGTCACCGCTATGTCCCTCCCCAGTGCAGCCCAGCTCACAACCACCAAATCGAGGAAGGAGGCACCACTCCAAGCCCCACCCACGCGGAGCCGCCTACCGTCGGTTCCCCCTACTGCGGCCTTGATGGAGAAACCGAGGCTCAGAGAGAAGCAGCCACTGTCCCAGGTCACCTGGCAGAGCCAGGGCCCCCGAGCCCCAGGCCACCCTACCTGGCCGTGCCCACCACCGATGGACGGGCCCAGCCAGTCCCCAGTCATCGCCCTCGTCGGGCGAGCCTAATGAGGGCTTTGGGAGCCTCAGATGCAAGCAGCTGGGACAGGAAGGGTGATTATCTGCCCTGATGGTGGAAATTTGGGAGCCGTCAGCGATGAGCTTGGCCCCCCAGCTCCCCTACCCTGGCCTCAGAGCTGTGGGGAGACTGGGACGGGCCCGTAGGGTCGCTGACTGTCCTGGTCTCCCAGCTGTCCCCAACCGCCCCTCTCTTTGCTCCTGTGTCCTCTTGCCTCATACATTCCACAAACACTTATTGAGCGCCTACTGTTTGCTGGGCGGGGCAGCAGGGACAATGACTCCAACTCTATGGGGTTCTGGGCATCAAGGAGCTCCAGCAACCCCACGCCCCTGGCCGTGTCAGCTGGGCAGGTCATATCTCCTCCCTGTGCCTCAGTGTTCTCATCTGCCAAATGGGTGTCTAGGAGGAAGTTGAGGGGTCTCCAGTGCAGGCAGGAGCTGAGCTGGGTTTTGCAGGCAGGGAGTCCAGGGTTCAGATCCCGGCTCTGCCTCCTCCGGGGCCCCTCCTGCAGTCTCAATTTCCCCTCTGTGGTGGGCCCAGTGACCCCAACCTCAGCTCTTTCAGAAAGCCCCTTCTCTGCTGCTGCGCGGGGGCTGGAGCTGGGGGCTTCCTCCGGGCCTCCACCTCCACCGTCCAAGCCTCGCACCATGTGGGTTGGGCCCGGCTCATCGTTATCATTACTGCTGCCGTGGTTGTCACTGCCCGCCTGTCTGCCCTGTACCCCCTCCCCGGTCCCCGGGCAGACCCAGCGACTCACTGTCCGGGCTGTGGCGCCAGCGGGTGCCCTGCACGCGGCCGCCGGGGTCCACGCGCAGGAAGAAGTGGGTGGCGGAGAAGAGGCGCCGCCAGCGCACGTCGCCCTCCAGGTGCGGGTAGCTGCGCGGTCTCCGCGGCCCGCCTGCGGTCCCCGCGGCGCCGGGCGCCCGCGCCAGCAGGAGCCACGCCAGGCCCAGAAACTTCAGGA